TGAAATTTTCTGAAAAATCATGCTTTGCGTTTTCCAGAAACGTCTAACCTACCATCGACCGAGAGTCACGCTGTATATAATTGTGGCAACATTTATCACTTCATTACATTAAACAACTAATATGGTATAAAAGTTTCCAGTCACTTCGTTTCCCCTCCATTTCCACCTTCTCAGAACTGAAAAACTTTGACACAGTGTTTTTTTTGTTAATACGATCATCAGGAGTATCTCAATCTTGTAGGTGTACAAATTCAATTTTCAAATGATTTTTTTGAATTTCGAAGTTTCAAGTTTCCATCCTATTTTCACCCCCTCAGACTGCCTAAAAACCTATGATGTACAGTTTTTTCTGTCGAATAGATCATCACGAATAACATGTCTCAATATTGTAAGTTGGTGTACAAAATCAATTTTTCATGTTACAATTTTTTTAAATATTTCCAACCTATTTTAACCCCCTAATAAACTGGGACGGTTCTTTTTTTTCACAAAATCAGTCAATAAGCGAATCATATTGAAAAAGGGAAAAATAATAATTCGATATTTTTTCTCAGTGTACTTTGTGGATGTGGATAATTCCACACCCGTATGAAAATGCAAAAATTTTTATGAAAGAAAAAAAATTTTTCGCGTAGGCAAGTTGAATTAAATCGGATTTAACTGGATCAAAGGAAACAATAATCCTATGAATCATTTACTTTATCAATTTTAATAGACTACCGTAACTGCAGAAACAAGAAATCANCATTTTAGAAATACTAGTGCGATATGTTAAAATTATTTCATATTTTTTAAACCAACATTCAGAAAATGAAAAAGTTGGAGCTAGCACTAATGCACCTATATGGTAGATGTACTGGCTGTACGCCAAGATAATTGATCCCATGTTAACATATAAGTATAGGGTATTTCTTTGGGAGTTTCCCATCTTCAAATTTAAATAAAACAAAGTGTCTGTGAGCTATCATTGAAATTTTTCATTCGTTTGAAATACCTGTTAATGCCATTATGTGTGAAATATAACATCGTTCAAATGTCCGCCACGGCTTCTCTGGGTGAAGCGTGTTTAAAACGTCCAATTGTCCATGACTGGCGCCTAAATCAGGCTGAATTTGACCGATGGCATGGGTTGGTTATGTTGGCTTTGAGTACCGCTGTTGCAAAATATATTATCATCAATACAGATTTTTCGACGATCTTCCTGAGTTGGTACAGACCATGTACAGCGTTCATTCACATGTAGCCCAAGGAACTTCATAGAAGGTGCTTGTTAGATCTGCCGTTAGATCTTAACAACAAGCTGTGGTTGAGTGGTTGTCTTCTCCATGCTCAAAACTAATTCATTTTAAGATAACCATTCCTCAGATATTTCGATGCCTTCATTGGCTTTCAAGACTGTTTGCTCCACATTGCTCCCGGTAGAGGTGTCGTGTGCATACAACTTTTATTAGAAATGCCATTCACGTATATCAGATATAACAGAGGACCTAAAACAGAACCCTGGGGAACCCCTACATCATTTATTGTTTTCAACGAAGTGTGATTGTTTGCTTGAACATACTGTATCCTGTTTGTCGGATAACTTTTTAGACAATCATGTACCACTCCTCTGAAACCGTACAGTTCTAGTTTTGTTAAAAAAATTCATGGTTGACAAGAACTAATGCCTTGCTTAGATCCAAAAAGGTGCAAATCATTTTGTTACTTTTGTCTAACTCCTCCGAAAGTCTATTTACAAGCGTCAACCATTGCATTTGAGAGTGATTTGCATTTTTGGAACCCACATTGATTCGAGTTCATTAAATGAAACCTGTCCATAAATCCTGTTATTTCATTGGCAACATATTTTTCAAAAACCTAGCAAAGGGACTCAATAGCGCAATTGGTCTGAAATTTTGATCTGTGACTCTTTCCGATTTGTGAATCGGAGTAATTTTTGCCATTTTGAGGCATGATGGAAAAGTACCTTCTTCAAGAGAACAATTATAGATAGGTACGTTAATGGTTGCGTCAACAGATTTGCACACTTTTTTTATTAGATTTGTTGTTATATAATAATAACAATATATAATTGTAGTTCCTTATTACATATATACAATAATTAAACAATCTTTAAAACTAATAAAAAAACTACAAATGATCATCTCCCTATGAGGACATTCAGTTCCTGGGTTGATTGAATTTTGTACGGGTGCAGGTCCAAGTCACAAAGCAAAATTAGCCAAGTTGTGATCGGCGAAAGGCCTAGTTCTTGTGAGCGACGCGAAATCGTCTGCCTCGGATTCTCCTGCACACTCTCATAGACAGCGGTAATGTTTTCTGCATATCTTGCGTTTTGTCGACGTACGGATGTTGGTCGATTGTTTAGTTAAGTAGTGGACACAAAAATGGGCGAAGCGGTACGTTGCCCGAACAGAACACCCGTTTTGATAAAACAATTTTTATTTGCACATGTTGTTGAATGCTATATCCGTCAATGGTGATTTGACAAAACAGACTAAATAAATGACAACTAATTTGACAGATACAGATGTAGCGTCAACAAGATGACCGTTATCAAAGGTCAAGGCTCGGAAATCCCTGTTGGAAGATCCTATATTTGGTATTGTTGTCAAACCGCTATTAATAAACCGGGATAACCATTGATAATGGCTGTTCCATACCAAGACACGACTGTGTACACTGCTGAAATAAGTGAATACGTAACATATTTTTTGTTTCCACGTCAGTTTTCTGGCAAGGAGTAACCGAAGGAAATTTCCTAGCTACAAGGAATCGGACCAAATGGAGATTTCGGATTATGTGAAAGAACATAAGTCAAACACGCTTACGGACAACATGACTCCGAAGTACACTTTGATACAAACTGCCCAGTTGGAGTAAGAAATCTTGAATAGTGGATGATGGATAGTTCTGCCGTAAATATTCTTGGCAGAAACATCTGGTGTGAACATGCCCAAACAGGAAGTTATTGAATATGGAAACACATGTTATGGTTTTGTAAAATGTTCAGTGAAAATCTCAAAAAAAAGTGTTGAATCCAATACAGGAACTGGTTGGTTTTATACGTCTCTGGCAACTAAATTGTTGATGTGCCACGGATCATCAACTTCACTTATGCTTTTACTTGACTTGATATGTACAACAGACTATCCATTTACCAGTGGATTACAGCAGGCAAGCCATTTATGGGCAACCAATACTTGAGTTACTGCGGAAGGGCACTGATCGTGGAACAAGCTTTGGGAGGCTAACGAGGATCGCGAATAGTGTCGAATTATCATCCTGGCACAGCGCGAACAGTTCGAAGAATGATCGCGAGTCTTCATATGTTGTATTCATTACGGACCATATTATGAGAAATCGAGAGAATTAGTTCAGTCGGTTACGAAAGTTTAGCAAGAAAAAGTAAATAAGTAAAAGAATTGTTGAGCGTTATTGAAGTATAATTGGACTTCAAATTGATGAATTGTAACACAAAATATCCCACACGAAAGTAACATTTTTTTTATTGATCGTCATCGTTATTGGGAAACTTCAATGTACCATTTAATATCCCATCCTCTTCATATTGTCGTCGCTGAATTCCTTTCAGTTCTGTGTCTTGTTGTACTTGTTTATTAACTTCGGAATCAGATAAAAGTACTTCGTAACATCCACTCACGAAATATGTCAGTTGAATGGACTTTAATAGTTCTACTTGAGATAAAATATATATCAGATTGATACATGGGAGATCCTTGAAAAATACATGTATTGAAATATAGGAACTATTAGTGATACTTTTAACGATGTCTAATTTCAAAATAAAGATCGTTAATTTTTTGTGGAAACTATATTGAATAAACATAGCTGAAAATTATTAGTTATACAGTGCATTCGAGTTGACACGAACCATCCTGAATAATTTCGAATCGAGACTGTGAAAAATTGTAAAAATTTTGTTTTCCGGAGAATACATTTCTACCATCTCATCCCAACAACCAACTTCATGTCAACCCTGTAACATTTTTGAAATTTCAACGATAAGCTATGTCAGAAAAAACTAAATACATTTCAAGTTTGTATTCAATTTCTAACTAGAAAGTAAACCTAACATGGAAATTTACTTTATCAAGCACTGATCACCATTAACTAGCGTGCAATTATCTATAGTAGTTGGCTGTTACTCGTAAACTTTTAATTTCAATCATCCCCATAGAAAAAAGTCCAGTGGAGTCAAATAGGGGGATCTGGATGGCCATTCTGTAGAGCATCTCCTTTCAACTCATCGACCCGGAAAGCTATTATCGAGAAACTATCGCACTGGTTGTTAATGTGCGTCATAACTTGATCATTCAGCAACATTCCTGAAATGTGGTTACTCAAAATTCCTGTTCAACCATTTAGTTTTCGATATCGGGTGTGAATTTGGCGTGCCATATTGGGATTTGGATCACTTCAGTATCGAATATGTTGACGATTCTTGTTCATTCAGATAAAATGTACATTCACCCGGGAAAGATGTGGAATACAACAAACGGGAAGAATAAAAAACTCTAATAATGAAACTAAGCTGAATACTTCAGAATAATTTTGATATGAACATTAAAAACTTTAGCTCTAAAGGTAATGAAATTCAATACTATATTGTGTAATTAAACAATTTATTTCTGTTATTTACATTAATATAGTTCAAATCAATCACTGGTGCTCAGTTTGAATATTTCAAATAGAGAAATTTTGTCAGATTCAATTTCTAGTTTGGAATTGAATGTAAAAATAACTTTAAAGATTGAATACGGGTTGGATACAGAGTTGAAAGACTTATGGATTTTTTATGTGGAGAGGGACGAATCATCAAGGTTCATTTTAACATACAAATGTCCTCCTGAAAATCAAAATAGATATTAGCCTCTTAAGCTACCACCCTTGGTACTTATTAACTTTATTATCACTCTCTTCTTAGTAATAGTTATAATGAGTGTCATTATTTTGACGTTATTTTTTGTTATTTTCAGGGATATGGATGGCGTTGGCATCACGTTGGCGATAGGAGCCTTGAGAGCCTTAGCCTTCGTATACGACGTCCTCACATTTCCCGTATATGTCATCCTCCAGAGGCCGTGGCGATTGCGCCAACTTTCCAGGAGCATTAAGGTCAGTTTTAACCAATATGATGAGCATGACATTTTTTTAAATCCCGAGACATGCATGTTTTTTTCCTTGCTTACCAGATAATGAGAACCAACCAATATCCACCATTTATTTTTCTTCAGAGTGTGTCTTCCACTCTAACGCACTATTTTCAAAATACTACTATGCCAATGAAGTAACGCGAATTGGTCAATGAACCGCAAAATAAGAAATAAGATGGGCCCTAATACAGACCCTTGTGGCATTTCTGTATTAATCACCTTAGATCAGAAATGATTTATTTCATTTCATTGGCATTTTTTTATATAAAAGTGTAAGTAAGACTTCCATCTGAGGGCTGACCTTCTGATTTCGTAGTTGGGCAACTTTGATAATAAAAACCGATGGTGAACGCAGTGACTCTTAACTGTTTCGTTGAGAAAAATGATATTGAGTATATATTTTGTGGTATTTTAAAATTTTAAAAGATGCTTAGGAATATCTTCATTGAATTGCTGTTCATTTTTTCAATTCATTACGGACAGTTTTTGCTTTTACTGTTCAAGTTTAAAAAAACTGAAACGATGAACATACGTACTGTATCTTAATTATAATCTACTGATGGTTACAACTAATTTAAATGGTTAATTATGATTGTGTTTTGGGGTATCATTAAAATGAGATATGTTTGTGTTATGGGAACTGAACTGTAACATTATTGAGCTTTTTGCATTATAACGTATTCAAAAAAACACACTTTAATGTGAGGTTTCCACTCACATTATAGACGTAGACTATGAATCCAATTCGGTTGAGGATGCAATTAAACTTTAATTTAATCTGACTTGAAATTATGCTAAAAAGATAATTTTAAAAGGTCAACTTTTTTGTGGATTCCATCCGGTTTATTATTTTGAAAGAAAATTTTTTTCTTGTTTTCGAAATAAAGTATTTCATTAAGGTTGAAATATTTCTGACCAAATATTTCAGTAAAAGTTTTTTAACTGAAAAAAAAAATCATTATTAGTTGATCTTTTGAGTTTTGTTATTGGAAGTGGAACACTTTTCAAGGAATATGCTCATATCATCCCAATATTATTTTTGAACTGGAATAATAACACTTTTTATGAATACATCGATGAATATTGGGTTTCATAAAAAGTAACTTAATTTGTAGTATATAAAAACAAAGATTTGGGTGTTGGCTTAAAATTGACTTTCTCAGGTATTACAATCCTAAGAAGTTGAATGAGTGAGCTAAGAGAGGTCGTATCTTTTGAAGAGCGATTCCCAGATAATCATTCGTAATGACTACAAAATATCTAAAATATATTTCGCTACTTTTATTATCCAATGAGAAAATGAAACCAAAGCTTTTTCCAATAATCTCGTTACAGTATATTCGCCTTAACTAAAACACCCTACATTTCTCTAGCGATAAATTCCTCAATATTTTGTATATGATTTCATGAAAAGTGGCATCCTTATAGTAAACAAATACGATTATTTTTTCTGTGGACGTTGGTTTGTTCTCAATTTTCTGATAACCCAAGAACTCATTTACATAAGCTTCCTATCGCTCATCACATTTTATTGATAATTGAAATCACAATTCTTTGATTGAATTCATTGAATCAAACGCGGTGAAAGGGAAGTATTCGTGTCACTGCAGGTGATAAATTACTTAATGATAAAGATTATTGCAAAGCATTTTTCAATAAGAGTTTTTTCTTGGTTTTTAATTTCAAGGACTCCTCATAATTGTTTATAAATGAATGCGGTGATTGGAGTGTTCTTCTATAAGTGTAGGCTCGTATCATTTTGGAATTTGAAAGTAATTTCATTCAATATTCTTTTATACTCCAATGCTCTGTTTTACGATTTCAAATTTTCAGTTTGTATAATAGACGAAATCCATGATGAGGTTAAATATGGGTAATGAAAAAGATTTCAGTGGTCAATAACAATTATTATGAATCTTTTATCAAGCCTTTTTTTTATAGAATTCTCTGCCTTTCGAATAACCGGTGTTGTTCCTGATGTGAAACAAAGTCATTCAAAAATGACACTGAATATCGTTGGCAATAAAACGGTTGTGGTGCCAGAAGTGGTTTTGACGAATGCAGGCATTTTTCACTGTGTAGTTATTAATGGCATTACATTTCCTAGATAAAAATGATTGCTGGATATATAATTTACATTTGATTATATTTATGAACGAACCCAGTTATTAGCTCTTTTATCTGATATAATTTCATTCGGAGCTACAGAGTCGTATTTTTCAGAAGTCTCAAGTTTTTTTAATGTAGAGCTCGCTCAAGATGGATTTCAGTGTAAATATACGTTTGCATTATCGTCAAATTTAGTAGGTAAATCTTACAGTAAGCACTTACTTTATGAAGATACCATCTATCTTGGTAGAATCAACAGAAAACTCGAACCTCACTTATCCAAAATAAGTTCTCGACATCTACCGAACAAGTTTCGTCCTGTCTTTAATGGCAAGGCAACTTGTAGAGTTTCGTTCATAGATGGCAATGCAATGTATTCGGTGGGTCATAACAGAGCTATCTACTGTTGGATCAACAATGCTTTGTTCTCGACTTCGTTTTTGGCTTCTGCTTTCAGTAGATGATGAAGGGCCTTTTTGATCCCTTAAGAAATTGTTATTTCCACTACAGTAACATGTTTTTTCTTGTCTGCTTATTATATCCGTGTTTTTGTAACCATCCTTATTCATAGTGTCTTTGGCGTTGGTTTCAGGTCTTGGTGGGGGTGTTGTTTTTTATGGTGGTGGGTGTAAATTTTGTGTATTTGCAGGTTATTGAGTTGTGCTTACCAATGTTATTTATAGGCCGTTATTGTGGACGTCGAACCGAAAGAGCGTAATGACGTGAAAATTGATACGAGTGGAATTGATAGCGTTAAAGCTAACCGTTTTAGAGATCCACCTTTTGAATTTGACAAGGTATTGACATTGAAAGGACACGGTAGTTGGGCTTTTTTATACATCACGATATGGATGGGGTTCTTACAGAGTCTGGCAAAGAACAGCAAAGTTTTCAGTTTTAGTATTTTGCAAATTGCACACTTTTTAGGTATAAATCGCCCGGAAATCTCTGTTTTCATTACTTTTTTTCACTTGAAATTTTCTCAATTTTTTTTCCAAAATCCAATAGTTATGTGAACAAATAAACTAACCATATGGCATCAAAATCCTAACAACTGTATATGTAAATATTGGTCCTCTTGATAAAAACAGAAAACGAATGGCCCATAAAAGAATATCTTCAGCAATAACTTGCTGACTTTTAACTGGACCAGAATAAATAAATATTTAAATGTCAGTTAAACAATATTGAATCAGAAAAATGAAAATTTAATCTCTTGAATTATTCTTCGCGTCGAAATATAGGACATATTCAACTTTTCCAGAAAGCATGAAATGTATTTTGCAAATTACTTTCTTCTTAGCCAGGTAAGAACCTGGATAGAAAATTTGCCAGACCCCGTATAATGATTATGGTAAATGGGTTTCAGGCTAATAGGACCCTTTAGATGTAAACTAAGTAAATTAACAATATCACGTATATATTCATGTACTTGAAATTCACATATATCTGTTTGTATTATTTATTAAGTTTTAACATGAATACACTTCAAAATTTGAAGTGTTAAACTTGTTTTCGCTGCCTAATTAAATTGACATGAAATATTCTATGATATTAGATCAGGGAAACAAGGCGTCCATTTATTTGGTCCATTACTTACGAAATTTTCATGTAAATAATTTCTACACTTTCTGTAATAATTGCGGAATGCTGACAAATTGAATATTAATTCAAGTATTAGTTTGTTTCTGCACTGTCGAACTCTAAAAACTTTATTCGGTCCCCAGCGGGGAGGCACGAAGTATGTGCTCTGCTGTTTCTTCATTTTTCAAACAGAGGCAACACACACTGCCTTCCAACAGTCCGAGCCTCTGCATATAATGGCTCACATGACCTTTAAAAAGGCATGTTAGACATCGTAGTTCATCCCTACTGTAGTCCAACAACTGTTTGGCATCAAGCTTCGAAGGTTGGATAAACGCCTTGGAGTGAGCCAATCCTGGAAGATTCTGCCAGAAGTCCATAAATCTTCTTGCCATCCAGGTGTTCAGTGTTTGTTTGGCAAAGCCTAAAGCGATGCCAATGACAGTTTCTGGTCTGATGAAGCTGCTTGCAGCACCCCCCTTTGCAAGGGAGTCAGCAGCCTCATTGCCTTCCAGGCCAGTATGGCCAGGAATCCAGACCAAAGACAATCTGTTAATTCTTCCTATCGAGGAGAGTCGTTTTTAACAGTGACCTGTAAGAAGGCCTGTTAGACATCGTAATTCATCCCTAGTGTAGTCCAACAACTGTTTAGCATCAAGCTTCGAAGGTTGGATAGGAGCCTTGGAGTGAGCCAATCCTGGAAGATTCTGCCAGAAGTCCATAAATCTTCTTGCCATCCAGGTGTTCAGTGTTTGTTTATTTGGCAAAGCCTAAAGCGATGCCAATGACAGTTTCTGGTCTGACGAAGCTGCTTGCAGCACCCCCCTTTGCAAGGGAGTCAGCAGCCTAATTGCCTTCCAGACCAGGAATCCAGACCAAATACAATATATTAAGTCTTCCTATCGAGGGAAGTCGTTTTTGGCAATTTGCTACCAATTTAGACGTTGCTCGGTAAAAGCCAAGAGCTTTCAACGTCGCTTGACTGTCCAAGAATATTTTTATTGACTAGTGTATGAGATTGGATTCTTCCAATCTCTCCGTACACAATTCAATAGCTTAAATGTCCTGTAGGTATATATTAAATTCATTTTGATAAATTCGAATTTGCCTAATAATGGAATAAATAAGTAAAAATTCTGAAAGTTCAACGATTTCTTTTTTTGTTTGAGTTGTTTTAGTAGAATTTGAAGTTATTCTCCAAAAATGAATGTTTTCAAACTCAGTAATTTACGATATATAATCAATATTATGAAAGAGATGTTTTTGCAAAAAATTATGTCATTAAAAATATCCGATTTTTTGCAAAGGATTATTGTTTTCAAAAACATTGAAAGCTTCCAAAAGCTTGTTCAATATCACTAATAGAACGATATATACGTATCACTTTCACAACACTATCATGAGGAGGTTTATGTTTCTCGCCTATTGTCAAGTTGAATGAAGTTCATTCACCGACACTTGTATCCTGTGAATAAATTAATATTTCATACAGTGTTTTCACAGACTGAATATTCATATCATATATTTATCCGTTAAGGGGGCTTTACACGCTACGATAAATCGTAACAATTGATTGAACGATTTATCGCTCCAAAAAATCGAAAGAGTAGAGCACAATTTACACGCTACGATGAATTGTTACGATTTCTTGTCAAATGTCATCTACTGACCGCTATCGACCCCAGGAAAGTTTTTAACCATGGAGGAAGTAGTGTCGCTGTACATCGGTTGTTTAGTGAGAAAGATGAAGAACTCGCGAAAACCAAGTGGAGCCGGGAGTGATTGCTAAAGACAAAGGATTTCTCTCATGTAAATTTGTTGAAAGAGTTACAAAATGAACCAAACGACTGGTGAAATTATTTGAGAATGGACGAAGAGACCTATGTTGAGCTGCTAAGTTTAGTTTCTCCGTTTATTGTGAAATATGATACTGTTATGAGGAAAGCCGTATCTTTCCATGAAAGACTCAGCTACTTTACGGTTCCTTGCCACTGGAAGAAGTTTGAAGGACATGGAATATTCCACTGCCATTTCTAGACCAGCTCTCAGCAAAATAGTCCCGAAAACATAGCTATCTATGAAGTATTAAAACAATACAATACGCAGAAGCACTGAGTAAAATCGTAGCGATAAATTGATGCAACTGTTACACGTTTCAACACATCGTTACGATTCCCAGAAATTGATGCCGGCCAGCTTCAACCATCCACTCCAACTCCAATCCCAATAAATCGCTACAATCTCCCGTTTACACACAACGGTAAATTGTAACAATATGATCGCTACGATAAATTGCTACAACTTATCGTTGCGTGTAAAGCCCCCTTTAGAAGAATCGACGAGAGTGAAAGTACTTGGATTTATTTTGATGTTCGATTCTTGACCTTTACAACCTTTTTACGGTTATATTTGTACTGTCGAATTGGCTAGTCATATTCATGGAAGTGTAGGATTGTGCAATAATGTTGGGTATTTGCGATAAAAGCATGCCTCCAATTCTCATTAGTCTTGAAATTTGTAAATAATGGCCAGGTCAATGGTGTACTAATTACTCGGTATTTGGTGATAAGGTTTTCATTAGAATTTACATAATTTGCATAAAAAATTGTTGGTATGTTTTTTTATTGCATTATAGTCATTTCTAACAGGATACAGTATTAGTTTTGAGTTTCGAATATTTTCAACAACATCATTTTCATATTTTATATTTTCAAACTCCTCTTGTTTATAGTTTATAAAAACTGATGCGTTAGTCATTCACCTTTAATTCTTATTAGTCAGTGGTCGATGCTTGAAGACAGTAAACAAATCTAAAGAAATGAACTTTAAATGTTCGCTTCAACTTAAGACGTGGAAACTCTGAAAGAATTTCGATTTTCAATTATGGAATATCATTGATTTTAGGTCGATGATGGCCACTATCTTGCACTGACGAGTGGCTAATGAGCCCGAAACCGGTCTGCAAGTGTACCCATTCCAAAATTGAAGGTCGACTCTTTCAGTTGTATTGCCAATTGCATATGCAGGAAATTTTCTGTGAAGATTCCTGCACTGACGCTTTTCGGATATAATCCAACGCCATTCGTGGTATTAGCCAGTGGAGTAGTTGTTTTCTGATAGGCGTTAGTCCATTCAACCTACTGTCTAGGTATATCCGAGACGGGATTGAACATTTAAATTTAATTTCTTTAGATTTATTAACCTTTCAGTAAATGAATGTCTTGATGTAAAACCGATATTTGAAAATGAAAATATTATCCAGCAAACACGGTTACATCTCCTAAATATTGCAGCGATGTTACAATGTGACGTGCGATGTCATTTCTAAGTCGCCAGCATGTCACGGCTACATCTCAGTGACGTATTTTCGCCCAACTAGATCGACAGCATTTACGATATTGCTGAAGTATTACCGAAAGCTCGTTAACGTCATTGCTATGTTGTTCTACAAGAGATAAATGAATCTGCAGCTGACTAAAAATTGTTCAGAGTTGTTTTCAATAATCTTGTATACATTATTTTTATTAGTAATATTGAATAAACTCCGGTATATTGTGCTTTTATGTTATTATCATCATAATTAGACAGTCTGTAGTAAAAAAGTCACAACTTGTCTGAAACCCTTTGAAAGTTTGGTTATGTTTTTGTGATTTATCAAGTCACATATATGTGAAATTCTTCAGTTCTGATATTGGAACTTATTGTGAATTCATACTTCCATTGTCTAATATGATATAAAATGATTTGAAACCCTGAAAGAACCAATACAATTGAAAATTAAAATGAATAGCTAAAAATAACAATTATGTTGAACAAAAATACCCTGAAATTAAATTACAGTGAAATGAAATACAAACAAAAACTTGAAAATTAACCAATTAAACAAAGAAAGGAAATAAACATTGAAATATTTCATTGTTTTGAGATTCAACTCAGTACACCTCGAACTTCACTGTTCAAGAACTCTTTCTTCATTTGAAGAACTACGTTTGTGTGGAATAAACTTTCTGAGAACGTTTTTCCAAATGGATTTAATCCCCAGCGATTCAAATCCAATGTGAATCGATACTTTCGCACAGGCACGGCTCTAAGAGCGCCTTGAGGATTTTCTTGTAGTGCTTGTGTTTTGTCCTTGAAAAAAGCCAAGTTATTTCACGACGTTTTGTTTGTTAGTATCCACAATCGTCTTCGGTTGATAACTGGACTAATAGAGATAACTATTTATAGGTCATTCGAGTGCTTTCAATTATCTCCTCTTTGCTCTCTCCGCTTCAATGGTTCAGTGGGAGATGATCGTTTGGTGGGAGTTGGCTAATGGGTTTCCATATACGCTAGCTTGGCCGAATACGTTGTTGGACAACATATATGCGGCTTCTTTGAATTTCCTCCTGAACCAGTGTTCCTCCCTGTGGGTGGTCTCAGCTTGAGAGTATTGGATATGGAAGGGTATATTATAATATACCATTGAAAAAGTTATTTTTACTTTTTTTTATCGAGTTTTTTCCCCACCTTTGTAAGTCAATTACTCAAAATCACCATCTGGTATTCATAAGGTAGTTTTTCTTGTTGCTCCGGCCTCTGTCGAAACTATTTGTATTCTAGCAAAAAGTGGTGGATATTTGAAACTTGAGTCTGTCCTCATCCGCTTGTTTTTATTTTGAACGAGTTTTTTGGGGTCGTTCAAAAATGAAGTTATTTTTAACTCAGAGACGACATTGAAAATTACGGTAATTATGATCTCTGGTATAGTTTTTGCAAAATCTGGTGCTCTCACTGGTCAAGTGAAATTCCCACATACACCTTCAAGAGTAATAATGAATATACAGGGTGTTACCTAACAACGGTACGATACTTCAGAGGGTGATTCGTTAGTACGTTCCAGGAAAAAAAAAGTTGATATGAGTTGCTTCGTTTCTGATATACAGAGCGTTGAAGTCATCATAAATATCTTTACACCGATTTGAGTTAAATTTGCTACTGTTATTTGAAGTAATAAGACGCTCATTTAACCCTAACTAGATTGAAATTATTAGTTCCAGTGGCGTCTCAGTGAGCACCACATCCAACACTATTGAGAAAAAAAGAACGCCATTGTCTTTTTTGTATTTTTTTTATTTTATTTTTTAGATTAAGCAACTGAAAATACAACTTTTTTGTCCCTTGCGTTTTCTTCATATCAAGCTTCGGTTCCGAGCAAAAAAAATCACTTCTATGAACTATCCATAGACAACGAAAAATAAAAACCAAAAGGAAATAATAAACAATTTCGACCTTAAAGTAAATGAGTAAAATGTCCAACTTGTGATCAAATATACGACTATAATCGAATTGTCATTGATTGTCTGACACGTTCAAAAATACCTGGAATATTCATTATGGCATTGCAATTGTCAATTAATTATTCGATTCCTCATGTCATTCACATCTGGTACAGGAGTTTCATAAACAAGAGCCTTCAGATGATCCCATAAATAGAAATCTAGAGGATTCATATCGGGACTGCGAGCTGGCCAATTTTGAGGTTTTGCATGTCCAATCCAGCGATTAGGGTAGGTGATGTCAAGATGCTGACGAGGAAGAACACTGGAGCCCCGTTGTGCATAAACCACATGTTGCCTCTTACAAGTACCGGCACTTCAAACAAAATGGGTAAATGATCTCTCAAAAAGTCGGTGTAGGATTCACCTGTTTTAATTATGCTGGTAGAAAAAATGGGCCAATTAGGTAGTCACCAATCACTCCTACCCAAACGTTCAGCGAAAAATGTTGCTGAAAATGACTTTCTCTAATAAGGTGGGGATTTTTGTGGGCTCAAAAATGGTCATAATAGCATCTCTTGAAAAATTTGCTTCGTCCGTAAATAAAATATTTATAAAATGAAATTATTATTTTGTGTCATCGTATGAATCAACCACCTGCAAAACATTAATCTTCAGTGAAAATCCCTGGTAAGAATTTATTATTGTGTGACATCGTATGAATCAACCACCTGCAAAACATTAATTTTGGGTGAAAATCCCGAGGCAGTAGAACTTGGACCTGCTGTATGTAATATGGGTATAAGAGGTTTTTTTAGCACTGACCATACGGTTTTTGGACTGACTTTCAGCTGCCGTGCAATCTTCCCGGTTATAGCTTCTTCTAGTTGCACCTGCATGTTTATTGAATCTTCCAGGAGTCCCAAAGTGGCCCACGCTCTTTAAATCTCTCGAATACTCATTCCATCCTTCTCTGCATCGATTACGTCACACGTTTCTCTCTCCCACTCCCACTCCGAAACACCTACCTCCTGTTGGGTGATCCACAAGGTTCCGATCGGATGTCATGAAAATTGCAAAAAAGTCAGCGTTATAAGAAAATACATGGGATTTTGCGCTCGGATGTCATGAAAATTGCAAAAAAGTCAGTGTTATTAGAAAATACATGGGATTTTGCGCTAGGAACAAGTTTCTTCATCTACTGATTTGAATTTCCCGCTGTAGGCGCGGTAGCTTCTGATTGGTTGACTGTATGACTGCAAAAGTGGATGAGTAGGGGTGGTCTGAAGTGGGCTTTGAAAGTCTAAGGCCCAATTCACACAGATGGACGTCTGGCAGAGACGAAGCGCGGACCTTTGTCCCTTCCATTCTGTCTGAACTGGACCTGAGGTCCAAAAATCGCTAGAATGAAGCGCCATAAGAAAATAGATGGGATTTTGGGCTGGAACTCTTGCAGCTATATTACGCTGTTTCTTTTTAGCACTGGCCATACGGTTTTTGGACTGACTTCCAGCTGCAGTGCAATTGTCCCGGTACTATTTGAAGGATCTTCTTCTATCGCATCAAGTAGGTATAGTTTCTTCTAGTTCAGCGTCGTTACAGTTTCTGGTATTCTACCACCTGCATTTTTATTAAAACTTCCAGAAGTCCCAAGGGGGCCCACGCTCTTCAAATCTCTCGGATACTCATTCCATCCTTCTCTGCATTGATTACGTCACACGTTTCCCTCTCCCAATCCCACTCCGAAACACCTACCTCGAGTTGGGTGACCCACAAGGTTCCGATCGGATGTCATGAACATTGCAAAAAATTCAGCGACATAGGAAAATACATGGAATTTCGGGCTAGGAACAAGTTTGTTCATCTACTGATTTGAATTTCCCGCTGTAGGCGCGGTAGCTTCTGATTGGTTGACTGTATGGCTGCAAAAGTGGAGGAGTGGGGGTGGTCTGAAGTGGGCTTTGAAAGTCTAAGGCCCAATTCACACAGATGGACGTCTGGCAGAGGCGAGGCGCGGACCTTTGTCCCTTCCATTCTGTCTGAACTGTTCAATAATTGCCACGTTAACACAGCTTCATAAAAGTCTGGTTGTCATATAAAGAAATGAAAGATTTCTAAATTTCAGCTACACATTTTCCAAAATATATCGACTCAAACTATACCGAAACTAATAATTTTGGAAGACTGTTTCTAATTTCGATGTATGTTTTAGGCTAAATCGATTCAACAAGATGCCAAGTCCGTCACTTACAGATCAACTGTTCAACCCACGCATCACCACGTCACTTTGGTCCGCGAAAAAATCGATACGATGGTGAAAATGTTTGAGTATTGTAACAGAAAGTATCCGAACAAGAGATGTTTAGGAACGAGAGAGATTTTGGCAGAGGAAGACGAAGTCCAGCCGAATGGAAGGATTTTCAAAAAGGTAACATGATTTATAAAATGTGTTGCAGATTACTCTTTCTTCAAATACATGCAAAAATAGGTCGATTTTCAATTCAAAGGGAGCTTTTCTCTATTCCAACCTCAACTGCCCCTTTGTTGTCATAACCCCTAGAATTTGAAAAAGGAGAGTTAGTCTCGTGTACTATTTTATGTTCCATCTGCCCGCGAATAATTCAAGCAATAATGTCGATAAATCTGTCAAATACAGATCCCGAGCTTGAGAGTTACAAGCAAACATACATACATACATTCACATATACATACAATGAATATTACTGGAGTTTCTTTTTTCAACACCAAATCGTTATTTTTAACACCTCGACACGTGTTTCGACCACCAAGTGATCATCTTCAAGAGGAAGATTAAACTGCAGTTTATCTGGTCCTTCCAAAGAAAATGGTAAGGTAAAGAAAAGCTTCGAAAACGATATAGCCTTTTCAATTGATTTTTAAAAACTTGAAGTGATACATTAAACAGATCTAAGTTATTATGATATTGATTTCCCAGCTTCATGGAAAAAATGTATATGAAAAATGTCAAGATTTCTTGTATCTGTTTTTTTTATTAAAATTATAACAACAGCGTAGATTTCAACATAGTTAAAACATTATAAATATTAAATATGTTGTTATTCTCCCTAATCAGCAAAAATGCTGGTCTCGGGATTCACAAACATTCAACATGACAAGTGAAACATGAAAACCAGTAAACCACTATTAAGCTCATAGTATCAAAGTATCAGACATGTGCCTCGAGGCTCAGATGTTCTTTTAAACTATTGATGAATGAACTATAGCCCGGCAACTCACGTATATGGACGTAACTCACGTAAAAGCTCATTGAAGGCTTTTATAACCTGTATAAAAGGATTGTATAATTCTTTGTTCGTTCTTACCATGCTCAGGTGTAAGTCATTTCTACCCCTTGTATTATACTCATAAAACTGGTTGGTGACTAGTAGATCGTTGTTGCTTTTGATTCTTTTGTTTTTTATTTTATATATGTTCTTGCATTGCTCAAGTTTAAGTAGATATTTAATTGAGTGTAGTTCAGTCTGTGAGAATAAATCATTTGTGTGGGTTCGAAATGGAATTTGAAATGAAATTATTATTGATTTATTTTGTAGCGTTTGAATTTTTTTGAAATTAGTAATGCCACAATTACCCCATACGATTAACAGATACCTAAGATTCGCCAATATATATGCATTGTAAACCAAGTATCTATTATTGAAACTCAAGTAACTGGAACACCTATATAGAGCTCCTACATCGGTACAATTTTATCATTAATATGTTCTCTGTGTTCTGACCAGTTTAACTTATCATCTATTAAGAGTCACAAATACTCGGTTTTTGCAACATTCATTAAGGGTAAGTTATTTATTCTTAATTCAATATTTCCACAAATTTTATTTTTTTGTTTAAATAGCATGTAAACGGTTTTTGCAGAGTTCACCTTAAGTTTATTATGTGCTAGCCAATTTGAGTATTTAGAGAGATCTTCATTAACTGTGTTCTCCAGTAAATGTAAATCATATCCACTGTACAAAAGGACCGTGTCATCGGCTAACGTAAAATACCTTTCCTTAAGCTCGGCCTGCCTCAGTGACAGTACCATCAATGTATAGAACAGGGACCCCAAAACGGAACCCTGTAGTACGCCACAATTATTTTTGATATGCTCACTCATACTCTCACCAACAACGACAAACTGGGATCTTTCTTTTAAAAATGTCTCAATGAGAGAATAAGTTTTGCCCCTTATACCCATGCAACATAGTTTGTTCAGAAGAACAGTATGGTCAACAACGTCAAATGCCTTCCTTAAATCAATGAACACTGCAATAACCATTCTTTTTTTTCCAATTCCGATGTAATATTATGAATGTAATCTATGGTATCGCTACTCTTGATAAAACCACACTGATACTCATCAAATTCCACATAACGATCAACAAAGTCTATTATTCTTGTCTTTATTATAGTTTCAAAAATTTTAGAGAATGACCACACAATTGTTATAGGTCTATAATTTTCTAAGTTTTTGTTATCACCACCCTTAAATATTGGTATTACTTTTCCAGTCTTCAGTATCTCAGGAATTATCCCCGCTTTGAAAATATCTTTTATCAAATTAACGAGTATCGAAATTACATTTTTTTCAATTAATATTATTTATTTAACGGATATGTTGTCGTGCCCTTCGTGTCAATGGATTCACAATTTTGTGACGCGTCCCTAAATTTTTGTTTGAATAAATCTTGCTTAACTACACTAAAGTTTGTTAGTATCTTTGGTTTATAGTATACAGGCTGAATATCTACATTGATATTTAATGGCTTATGATCAGACAGAGCATAGTTGTATTTTGTTTAATATGAAAAGTTATTAGTTGAAGTATTTCTGAACAGTTTATCTCACTATTTATTAATTTAAAGAGGAAACTCAAGTTCATAGAAATTCTCATATTGTATTTATTCGATTTCAGTTCGTTATGGGAGATTATAGATGGAAAACCTTCTCCGAAGTCAACACACTGGCCGAACACTTCGGCAAAGGTCTCAGAGAAATGGGCAACGAATCCGGCAACAACATTGCTATTTTCGCCGAAACTCGTGCGGAATGGATGATTGCCGCACACGGTATATTCAAACAAAACATCCCTCTTGTCACCATATACGCCACTCTAGGCGACGAAGCCATAGCGCATGCTATCAATGAAACAGAAGTCACCACCATCATCACCAGTTTCGATTTGCTGCCGAAGTTCAAGAAGATCCTGCCGATGATTCCCCGCGTTAGGACGTTGATCTTCATGGAGGATCAGCTGAAGAGTTTGGAGAATAGAGATGGATACAAAGAGGGGGTTGAGATCGTGAAGTTTTCGGAAGTTCTGCAGAAAGGTGCCAAGTCCAGTATCGGTGAGTATATTAAATATTTTGCATGGTATGCAAACTCCACTTTCGTTGAGGGGAGGTTTCCTGATATACTGAAAATGTCGAAGTTTTTGCCAGTATACGAAAATAAGGGCTCTCGATCTGATTGTGCATCTCACAGGCCCATATTGCTACTCAGTTTTCAAAGATTATCGAATACTGTTTCTATCAAAGATTATATGATTACTTTGAATCATTCAGATTATTTTGTTCTAGTCAGAATGCTTATAGAAGGAATAAATCTACAGTTGGTGCAGTTGATCAGCTCACTAAACATGCGCTGGAAATCTTGGAAAACAAACAGCAGACTTTATTTAGGATTATTTTTTGATTTGAGTAAAGCCTTTGACCTCGTTGACCATGACGTGGCTGTGCATTGAATTGGATTGGATCTTACCTGACTAATCATAGCCAGCTGGTCTGTGTGAATGGAATGAATTCTGAAAGAAAATGTATATCAAGAGGGGTACGTCAAGGCTCTGTTTTGGGACCCCTTCTATTTTTGGTTTTNACTGATGGTTGAGAGTATATGCCTTTTCACGGGAGTTCCTATCGGATATTCGGGCGCTTTGACGATGCTCGACAGTTCCAGCAAAATAAAGAAGGGCACCAAGGGGGACGCGACGGTATTGTGCCCTACGGTTTTGACCAGCGTGCCAGTAAGTTTGATGGTTTTCCTTTTGTCTCATTGTTTGACTTAGATGTTAACCTATTTCTTTTCTGGCAGTTAATATTGGACCGGATATCTAAGAGTATACAAGAGAGAGTGAACAAAAGCAGCAACGCGAAGAAAGTTATATTCAAATTTGCCTACGACTACAAAACGTACTGGAAGAGAAGAGGTTATTCTACTCCGATTGTAGATATGTAAGTCGTTACATTTTTTAACCAGTTTCAAAATACTTCTGTTTAAGTACTCGTATATGTTTTTTGATTTTTAACTCTTTATTTTTTCAATAAGAAAAACAAGATGAGTTGGTGACACGATAATCACAGTTGATCCTCCTAAAAGTCGTCTATGCATCATTCTGCGCTGATAATAAAATTAGATAGAAAATCCGCTCTTCAACATGGGAGCATTAAATTTGTTTTGACACTTGGGTTAATTCCTTGTCACTTATTTGTGTCCTATGGAGCTGTTCTTGGTTGCAATTGTTTATTTTCTCATTTATTACAGAACTAAATCCCCTAGTTTTAGTTCTGTGATAAAAAAACTAGAGGATTTAGTTCTGTGGTAAAAAAGGGATGATTACCATCTAGATCATTTTAATGTTCCTCATTTATGTTTTATTTGATAATTTGTAAACTGGTTTCCTTCTATTATTGTTTTGGTATTCCCTCTGATGAAAAATACAAAAATTTCCTTGGTGTGTTTACACGTGACAAATGACGTTCATATGTAAAAATGACGACTCTTTGAATTTACACTGCCTTACCCTAGCAGGATAATTTTCATTAAGGTTTATACACACAGCTATCGTTTCTCATCACAAAACAAAAAAAAACTGATTCTTTAATGGCCTTGGCTGCCAGAGAACACATTTTTTCTCAAAATTCCAGACAAAAAAACAATGTAGTGCTATATTCAAACAAGAAGATCCACTGACAGTTGACAGAAATAAAGTAGTTTCAAGTTTTGGAATAAATATAGCCCTATAATTTGTAAAATATGAACAACAACTAGTTGTAATTAGTTTTGCAGGACTCAATTTCAAATTTACTATTGATTTTGAGTGAAACTTGTCTAATTTGAGTTTGAAGTTTCGAAATGAAAAACATTTTGACCTTCCATCTATGTCTGTCGACATTCGATTCGCTAGCCAAGCGAGTATCATCAGGAGATGCCTACATATTTAGTCGTCTCCTGATGAAGGTAACTTAGTTAACGAAACGCCCGTCGAGATACATTGCTTCAGTTGTGTGAAAATGTTCTCATTAGATTTGTTGAGTTTTAACTACAGCTGAGGTTATTTAATTTTACTCGGGCATCACGTAAGAAATTTAACGGTGACATCTCCGTTGAGCTTAACCTAGAAAAGTTATTAAATTGACGAGTTTTCAAGATAGTCTCTAGAAATAGACCCATAACCTCTAATTTGGATAATATACTTTCAATTCGCAATACAGGATAACCACATTATATCATTGCCAATACCTAAAAGTACTTTAATAAAAAAATATTTTATACATTCGCACTATATCTTTACACAAAAAAATTTAAGAATGAAAAGAAATATTTATTGCTAGATTAAGCCTATTTATACACTTGACGAATAGTTTTTAAATATTGTCTTCACTTTTATTCCATTTTATGTCATTTTCATAGTATTATATGTCGAGTAGATTGTTTTTTTTTTTTCGAAAATTGGTTGTATGTTGGTTTGCATATAATAATAATATATTTATTGCCATGGGTTTCCTATGAAACAACTAAAATTCGTTCATTTGTGACTGTTACAAAAAATTAAAAAAAGTATGCATATATAACTCACACGTTACATTTACAGACATTGTAATATTCGTCAAGTGAATATAAGTGATTTTCAATCAGATATTCCTTCAAAGTTCGTTTGAAGATTCTCATGGTATCGATTTCTTTGAAATCTGGAGGCAGTGCATTATATATTTTTATTCAGTTATAGTACGGACCTTTCTCGAATAGACTTGTTCTATGTAGGAAGAATTTACTGTTTTTTAGACAATAAAGTTTTTCAAATTCTGTAAACTTGGATAGTGTTTCTGAGTTGTGTTCAGTATTTGGGTCACTTCGAACGAAATAATCTGAGTGCTGTCTTTAAGTTCATTGTCAGCTGAAGCAGGATTTGTCTGTTTCTCCAAGATTTCAATTTCTCTTATGTTCAGAGAGCCCAGTACTTATACTTCTTCTCATGCTTCCATTGTAGACTTCCCTGAAGCTTCAAGGGAACAGGTATACCTCCTGTGTTACTAAAGACTATCTGGTATCCTTACTTGACCTTAAACTCTCCCTGATAGTTCTCGTTGGCCTGAATATTAGTTTCATGTTGTGTTTGTCGAGAAATCTGGCAATCCGCACTATAACATGTTCAACGTAGGGAAGCAAATCTTTTCTGTTAATAGGCCTAGCTGGAGTTACTTTTTATCTCTAATGGGTTGTATTGCCTGCACACACAATAAAGTAACTATCCAGCTTTGACAATTTTCCAGCAACGTATAATGTGAAAGCATGTAATAATTTTTCATTTGGTCCACTTTTATGCATCAACAACTTAATTTGCAGGGTCGTCTTCAATCCAATCCGTAATCTCATGGGCGGAAAGATGAGAATGATGGTGTCTGGAGGCGCCCCACTATCTCCTGAAACCCACGAACAAATCAGTAATTGCATGTGTCTAGCGATAATACAAGGTTATGGNACCCCAGAAGCAGACACCATACCTCAGTCTTGAATCAACTTGAGCATAATAAATGCTCATTAGTTGAGTGGTAGTTAAAACTGTCCGCAGATTCATAAATAGAAATTTCATTGAATTAAGCTTAGAAATTAGATGCTGGCAATGAGCTTTCCAGTTCAAGTTTTCATCAAGAAGAATACCCAGGAATTTAACACTTTTATTCGATTTTGAGTATGTCACATTATCAGCACTGAAACTGAAGTGATACATATTGTCTGGAGAGATACATATTGTCTCCTACCTTCAAAGAATGAGGATATCCAGTTGAGAGATGCACCTCTTAGTCCATATCTTTCCAATTTCAGTAAAAGTTTTTGATGATTGACGCAGTCGAATGCCCGACTCAAATCACAGAATATCGCTGCCGGGCATTCATCTGCCTCTATATATCTAATTACCTCATTATATAATGAAAAAATGGCAGTATTACTTGATTTTTCTGCACGAAAGCCATGCTGCGTGTTTGTTAATATTTTGTGTTCTATAATGAACTTTGAACAGATCAACTGATGGTTCAATAAATGGGATGTATCAGACAAAGGGGGATAAATATGTAACCAAATTGAGCTTCTTATTGGTACAGGTCGAAGTCAGCACTTTAACGACTGGGTCATCTCCAGGACCATGTGAGATACTAATGGTGTCACAACATATTTTTACTTTCGACATCTGTGATCCTACGCAGAATACATGGCACAGTGTTGAAAGGATACAATGTATTGAGGAGCGAGAATAGAGGGACTAGGTAAACTTAGCGGGTTGGGGATTATTCATAACTTTTGAAATATAATATTTTCTGTTCTTAAAATATTCCAGTATCACAACGATACGGATCACAATAAAGATGAGAAATATCACTGTTTCACGATGTGAGAAGCGATAAGCCATATCATCACAACCGAAAAAACTTTTTGGAATATTTTCAGTTCGCCCTTAGAAACTTCTTGAATTCATATAAGTTTGAAAGGAACTTGGCAATGCAGTTTAAAAAGAATCAATAATAATTAATCGGTTGTATTTTGTAGATAATCTCATTTATTTAATTAATAAAGTATATGTCAAAAACATTAGCTATATCTTCATCAATTTTTGAAAACTGCTTTTCAAATGTGTTCTGAGAAGCTGGGCTTTATGTAATTCTTTTAATGATCTCCACATAGCTCACCAATTTGTAGTAATTTTCGGTCACTTCATTTCATACCTTCTATAATTACTCCATAATATTTTTTTCAAGTTTTCCACTGATGAAATATATTTAATTTTTGAACTAATATTTCTACCAATTTGCTTGATCAATCATGTATATTTGTTGTATTTGATTTCCATTCCTTAGCCATTAGACCTAACGGGAAAATTCTTTCATCAAAATGTTCATATATTTTTTTAATTACGCACCTTTGTGGTGCTGCCAATTGCAAACTATTATTTTCAAGAGGAATACAATTACTTGAGTGATCAGATATTTTTGGTAAATGTTTTATGATGTTGAATATTCACTACATCATCTGCTAATAGATTATCGATTAATGTAGCTGAATTTTTTGTAACTCCTAAATTTTCTTTGAGTAACTGTATAAGAACTACAAAATTGAACAAATCTTTAATTTTACCACTGTATATATCATCAAATTTGTAGTTAATACTGAAGTTGCCTACAATTACTACTTTATATTTTTGTCAAAATGATACTAAGTAATGATATACGCCGAGCAATCACATCTGATATTGAAACAAAAAAAAATTCGTTCATTTTCAGACCGCAAGAAAGATTTAGTAAAACTGCAGGCAGGTGAATACGTGTCTCTTGGAAAAGTCGAAGCTCAATTGAAAACTTGTCCATTGGTAGACAACATATGCGTATACGGAGAGTCCTCCAAAGATTTTTGTGTCGCTCTCGTTGTAGCCAACCATCAGCAACTGAAGGATCTCGCTGAAAGGAAGGGAATTGCTGAAAAGTCTTTCGAGGAACTGTGTGTGGATTCAGATGTCGAAAAAGTTGTCCTGCAAGAATTGGTGGATCACGGAAAACGAAGTAAGTTTGAAACGAATTTCTTCGTGAATTTCTTTGCAATGTATTTGTGATTTCAAATCGATTTTCACTGATTTGATTTTGCAGGTAAACTGGAGAAATTTGAAATTCCTGCCGCAGTGAAATTGGTAACGGAAGTGTGGTCTCCTGATATGGGTCTAGTTACGGCAGCTTTTAAATTGAAGAGAAAAGACATCCAAGAGCGTTACAAGCACGAAATTAAGAGAATGTATGCCTCCTGAAACACGGCTTGGCTGTGAACCACGCCCACAGAAATACACTCATAAATCGCATGATTCGCTTCTGAAATGTGTAAAATTGTAAAGAATTTTGTATTTGCTTTGTACATATTAATGAAACGTATGGAGTAGGTTATGTAACACTTTTATTTATATTAGTTTTACGTTATACATTTTTTTGTAAATAAGAACAAATTTGTATTTTATATGCGTTTGTAAATTTCCTCTCAAGTGATATAAATTCGGCAACTTTGNGATACGAAAGAGACTCCTAAGACTGTTCAATAAAAAATATTTTATGATTGTGTACTAAACACTATGCTGTTTCATTTAGGATTTCAAGAAGTATGTAAGTGGTAGATCGCACAAGGTTTCGTCAGTAAACAGTAGATCGTATGTCTAATCAAGTTAGCCACCATTGGTGTAGGGCAAAGCAAGTCGTAAAATTTTATTTTTCGGAATCGCATCAGTTTTTGAAAAAATCCAACGTGGCCAAAGCTAGACTCAACTAGTGTATCTAGAATTAGAAAAAAAAACATTACATCCTCAATAAATTTGCAATACATGGTATTTTTTTAGGTGCAGTGGTTGGATCTAGCTTTAGGTACGTTACATTACAGCTTGGATTTTTCCATCAATAATTAAATTCCGTTCATTATAATTACAAATTTTCACAATATAGACTTTATTTCCAATAAGTGTTTCACGTATTACTATTTCCAACACGTATTATTATTTCCAATTGTATGGTAGGGCGCCAAGTGATTTACAACAAAATAAACATACACCTCTTTTAGAGCTATAATCACTAAATTCAATTGACTTTCATGTTGGGTTGGGCTACCTATCAGGCGCGTCCCCAGGTGGCGGATAGGGGAACGGCCAGGAGACTAGAGGCCCTGTCCGGTAAGCCTATGTGGCCTTACGGACGGGGTCGCCGGACTCCTGGTCAGTGGCAGAAATAAGTAAGGTGAGGGGAACTAAAACTCGTTCGTAGGGTGATATGCGATTACGAACGATCCCCTTGGGGAACTGGGCGAAACCTCATTGTAATCAGCACACCTCTGGTTCTGCCATGGGTGATCAGTCTCTTGCCTTGTACTCGTGGAACACACATGAATGAAACAACAAAAACCAATCCCGAGGCTGGACAGAAGTGCTCACCTCAATCTAAAGTGGTGGCTGGGGATGCACAGAAATTTCCACCCCAATCTACCGCTTGGAATGAGGCTGGTCATAGCAGATCACCTCATGTTGTAATACAAAGGCGCAAGCGCATTTGCGGCGCCGAGGCCAAAAAGGAGAAGGAGAGCAAAGGAGGCAGGAGTGGCAGCAACTATAAGTGCACCCTCGTCCTCCACCTCCAACAGCAAGGGCACTTCCTGCGGCGGGCACCAAGAGCTCCGCCTTGAGTAAAGGCAAGGAACCGGCTGCCCCTGCAGGAAATCTTCCTCACCAGAGGCCACCGTGAGACACCTCAAGGTTGCCAAAGAGAGTGTGTGTTCGGCGAGTCTTGGCCTTCACCTGCCGATATAAAGGAGATGTCTCCTAGTAACTTGTCCACCTTCCTAGAAAAGACAGGATGGAAGATGACCTAGGAGGACAACTCCTCGGGAGGATGTACAATGGGTCACATGTGACCTAAGTGCAGTCGGTCTACACTCACCCTCCCTACAGATACAGATAGGCAAAGAATGAAAACCTTCCACTGGGTGGTACTTATCACTATTATCACCTCAAAGATTGCCACAAATACTTACGTCTTCATGCTCTCTCAAGTAATTACAAAAATGAAATGTTGACATTGGCAACTTTTACAATCAAAATATAAAATTTTTAGCTCCACGATTCATTACGATTGAATTAAAACTGAAAGAGTTCAACATTACCTGGATAGTTACAATATAATCTTCACTATTTTCAAAAATATCTGACTATAACCAAGAAAGTCAATAACAATTGTGTATGATAGTGATGATTTTATACAATTCTTTCATCAGTTTGGATTCCAACGTTTGAGACAAAGCACAAGTGTTAATGGTAAATTACTCTGCACTAAACAATATTTACCAATTATATCTGATGATATCTTCCAAACTGTACTTTAAACAATATAAGTTCGTTCTTCACAAACAATTCTCATCATATATATATTGTGCAAAGTAATGAATTGATAGGTTTCATTTAACTTGAAGCTTATTTTATTTTTTCAGAGCATGTTAATGAAAACTTATTTTCATAAATGTTTTCTAATAATTATTTATTTTGTCAGTAATCGCTGGACATATTCCTTGTCTATTCACTTCATTTAATGCATCATTGTTGCATGATCAGTCTACAATACTTGTTGAGGCATCACCAAATCTTCCATAACCTATGCCGAGTTGTAACTCTTTGAAATCGGTTTGCTAGCCGTCTTGTTTTCCGTCCTTTTGATTTCTTCATTTGGAATCCATTTCATAGGGTTGCAAAAAACCATAGTCTACATCTTTGGAATTCCGCCATAGATTTCACTTTAACCTTTTGTTCTTCATCTATAAATAGTTGATCAAAAACTTGTATATTTTACCCTTCGAATGTGGCTTTGAATTTTTTGAGTCCTGTACATGGAATTTACATGAAATTTTATTATACAAAACTCTTAATTTCCTATATTTTTGATTCTCAACATTTAATAGTATATTATTTCAACAATAACTGTCAATTATGACATTGATCAATTAAAGTTTTTGGCTTTCTACTACTCCATCTTGATACAAAAAAAGGATGGGGGAATCTTCCAAAGAAAGGAAGGAAGTAATCAATTTGATAAGTAACTCTATACATGGATGTGTAGATCAGGCAAAGAAGGAACTTTCAGACACAAACTGAAAGAAAGTCCTCCTGAAACAGCTACTTTCATATAAACATTGAATTACACGAAAGAAAAAATCCTTGACTGGGATTCAACAATTAAAATCTTCGTAGGGGCTAAGAATATCTAGATCCGGCACTGATGACAGCTGAAACGCTTTGGTTCAGTCACATATCCTGTTTCAAGAATCTTACGGATGTGGTAGGTTACAAACGTTACAGAAATATTCCCAATTGACCCGACTACCTGTGGAATTCAGCAGAGTCTGTCGCACTTCACAACATGAAATGACAACCCAAAAACCATGAGGAATAGATATAAAAATACCTACCCAGTGGCATGAACAATGGACAACCAGCAAATAAAGAGTAGGTAGGTGAATGCTACTCTTGCTTACTTTTAAACTTCTGTCCGATCACTGTGCTTTTAACTGCAGAGTTGCCTTTTGTACGTGGTTTCACGCGTCACACTCGGCTCGTTTCTTTTGTGTTCAAATTATAATAATCGGAGTTATGAAAATTGTAGGCGACACTAATTGTAGGAATGACTCCTACTGAAAGACATCATTAAAAATTGTCGTAACATCCTAGAGTTGTGTATTGTTAGTGATTCACGAGTAATGTGCAAAAAAGAAAAACGGGTCAGTCTGAAATGAAAATTCATATGATTTATTTAAACTGACGGAACAACTTTTTAAACTGTTAGAAAAATGGTTTCTTTGTGGATGATTATTGCAAGGAAATTCTTTAAAAAAGCGCGTAGTGTGATAAAAAACATAAGTGACGTTAATTGTAATCTTATCGTTGCAGCGTGTACAATGTAAGTATTTTTAGTTCGCATGGCATATAAAGTAAATGGGAAATACCTATTCATTATTTGCTTCAAATCTTGAAATAGTTCAAAGAAGTTCAGTAGGTACTTCACTATTTATCAAAATAAATATAGGTAGCGTAATGTACACTTTCAAAAGCAACATGTTTTTACATAATGCAAATAGCGGTATCCCTGTTTCTCCGACACACTGAACAAATTAGCCATTCAAAGAGTAATAATAATGAGAAGGTTCATATGTATAAAATGCACAACTCAGTTCTGAAATCTGAATGTGACGTGAGACCGTGAGACCACGACCACGTGACATCGTTTAGGTCAGGGACGGCGCCAGCATTTTTTACGCCCCTAAATTAAATACACCCTTTAAGTCACGATTACAAATTCAGTATTAAATAAATGAACAAAATATTGTTTGAAATTTCTGAAATTTTGGCGTTGTATTGCTGAGCTGATTTCAAAACTATATCACAATTTGCTTCCAACTGATTCAGCATTACAAGTTATTTATTTAATAATAAACAAAGACGAAGATGAACAAATTCAAAAATTACGTAAGTATTGTTATTAGAACTACTTATTATAACTATTGAGCCAAATATTTTTATAATACTAATGTTTATGCGGCACTCGATTACTTTACAACACACTGTATACTTTTTTCAGTACAGTAGTCAATAAAAATTGTTTAATGTTATTAATCTGCATCACATGGAAATTATTCTGATTATTAGAATTTTCTGTGATGTGACCAACAGTCGTAACTTGAAATTTGGTTGATCGATCTTTTCGGAGATTTTCACTTCCCACAATTTGAAAAAAATTAATGGAGAACTTCATACAGGCGTAGAAATGGCAAACGTTTAGTTCATCTCTACGTAAATTCAAAGTATTTTTCACGAGGAATAATGTTCCATTTATCATCAGTAGTTTCTCGTATTCAATAGTTTCTTTGATAGGCAAAATTATAGACAACCCCCACTTTCGTTTTCACTCATACATAAGTGGCTTCTTTTTCAATGAACTTAAGCTGAATGTAATGTGCGGAAAAAATGGTTTGACTCACGTCTATTGAAATGATAATAATTTAAATACCTTTGTTGAGCTAGCAGAACCAATTCGAAACTCTTACACTTACTTTGAAACCAAATTTGAGGCTATAGCTTTGTACTCTATGATCGAATTTTCATTCTTTATTTAACGGAGAAAATGAAGAAATTCCATTGTCTAATTACCAGACTGTTACCGGATCGTTTTATTCTGTTTTAATTAATTAATTATAATACTTAGTAGCAACAAAATTGTTAATCAACAAATGCGTTTCCAAGCAAAAAAAAATTTTTTTTAAGAAACG